TGGTTGTCCATGATCTAGGTCTACCATTTATATTGATCTCTTTAGCCTTAAAATATAATAATGAAGGTTAGATGAAATGTACGTTGGTGCTCGGCAAGTGTGGTCGGGTGCTAGTCATGGCCCTTCAGTTTGGGTCGTGACAACGCCACAGCGGGTACTATAGGGTATCGTTCTATGTGTTGATTTTCTTTATATGTCTGTCACTTAACTGCTTATTTGTTGTAGCATTACCATATTTCGTTCCATTGGTTTATTGCTCTCATATTACTTGTTTAAAACTGCCGCATTATAGATTACTCTGTGTTTTCCGTGATTTTTTATTCTGAGTCATTATTTATGCTTATTACTCACTGGGTCGGAGTACTCACATTACTCCCTACACCTTGCGTGCAGATTCAGGTGTTCCAGAGGCTGAGTGAGGAGTTTCAGTCGATTAGTTCATATCCGGGAGCATCGAGGTAGTTGTACGGCGTCCGCAGCCCGGATCTCTCCCTTCTATCCTTTCGTTTTATCTGCATTTCCTAGACTGATTATGTATTAGGATGTTAAACTTGTACTAGAGGCTCGAGACTTGTGACACCATATCTGTATGGGCTATGTAGTAGTATTATCATTTGAATTTCCGCATATTTAACTCGTTGTCTTAAACTCTTATTAGGGTAATTTATCAATTTAACTGTGTTAGCTGATAATGATTTTTTTTATAAGAAAACGGATTGAGGTTGTTAGTTGGTCAGGCTTGCCTAGCAGTGTGTTGGGCGCCATCACGACCGGGGTTGGGGTCGTGACACTAAGACTCCATATGTGGTGGATGATCGGTTCCAAGCCTACACCACTATAGAGTGGCAAGAGCGGTCGATGCAGCTTTTACCCGAAAGGTCGGGATCGAATCCATAGAGAGTTAAGATAGGTTTGGAATTGGGTTCCTATCTAATCTAGCAATGTGCAATGTCCTTAATTGCACTTCCAATCATTCTTTGTTTGTTCACTATTATACTTTTATACTAATGATGCAGGAAATTAAACTAAGTATGATATTTTTGTAAGGTTTTCTTAATTGGTAAAAATGCACTAGGGAAGTGACTTATACCTAGGTGAGTATCCAACGGGATCTAAAACTTAGGGCAAAATTATTAGAATTGGAATCATGATATAGCCATTGCACATAACTACTCACTCTATACCTTTCGGTAGTTTGAGTGACTTTGCCCTAATTGACTTTCTCAAGCTCAATTGGGTGTTCAAATAATGCAAACAAAATTGGCTCAAGTGGGGTATTACTATCTCTAGGTTTAACCCTTTAATTGGGGCTATCAATCTCTTGAATTCACCCCAATTCCTTATTGGCCTGAATTTCCTAGACTTAGTCTCTTTTTCTCAAGTTCCAAATCAGAGTTTGTATAAAAAATCAGTAAAGACTCAAGATCAAGTTTCAGAAGACTCATAAATAGAAATCTTGTAACTCTTGGCTGATAGGCTTGTTTAGTTTCTTTTTCATTTTGATTTTGGTGCAATAAGGAGTTCAGCAAGCAGTAACAACAACAACAACAATGAAATCACAGTTTTTTGGTAGTCCCAGCTACCAAACTCCCAGAACTACACTGACCTGATTTCTTTATAGCCAAGGATATGTAGGGAACCTCCGAAGTAAGATTCGGTCAAACTTTTTCAAAATGCTTTCAAATGGAGTGTCTAACGGGCAAAAATTGCTCATAATTGCTCATTTTATCTTTACCCAAAAAAATTTCATGTTGTCGAGCAAAGAGGGGCAGCCGTGAGCACGTAATTTTTGCTCTACGAAAAATACTCCTACAAATTCACAAAAAAATAATTTTTTTTCTAATTGTTTTTAATTTTTATAGAATTTCTAGGGGTTTCTTGTTAATTGTTTATTTGCATTTAGTTGCATATTTAATATCTTAAAATCATAGAAAATACCTTTAAAAAAATTAAATCTTCATTCATGATATTTTAGATTTAATTGCATTTTAGGAATTAATCAGTCATTAATCGTTAGAATTAATACATGAAAATTACAACAAAATTACATTACTAATTTTTTATTTACATATTAGTTAATTATTCAATTACTGCGATTATTAGTTAATTTTTAGATAGTTTGGTTCTAATGGTTTAATTATGCAAAGGTTTATTGGGTATCTTAATAGTGGGTTAATTTTGAATTGAAAGAAAGAAAGGAAAAGGGGCCATTTTGAGTTTCAAAAATGGACTGGGCCAACATTAAATGGCCCAGTTGCCTTAAATCCCCCAAGCCCATCCCAAAGTTTGACCCAATCCAGCCCCCACTTTAAAAGAAAACGACCCCATTTTAATCCGGGTTGATCCCTACCATTGATTACCTTAGATGTAGTGGTTGCGAACTAATTATCCTTTTCCCTTATAACTGTCCAATACCCCCCCCCCCCCCCCCCC